TAGAATAAATTATAAGCGATTATCTAAGACAGAGAAAGATAAAAGAAAACAAAGATATGTTAGGAAACCTAGTAGTAAAAAATGCAATTGTTTTATATGTGGAGAACCTAATCATTTTGCAAAAAACTGCCCAAAAAAACATAAGCCCAATACTAATAAATAGATAGAAATATCACATATTATAGAAAATTTAGAAGAAGATATAGTAAGCATAAGCAGTGCTGACTCAGACATTTATAGCATAGTCAGTAATTATGAATATCAAATAGAAGCCCTAAGCTTAGATAGTGATTCAGAAAGCGATACCGATATAAGCAATCTTTTAGGACAACTTAACCAAGAAATAGGACTATCCTCTTCCCATAATAGTTTCTTTATGATGATGGAATGCAATCCAGATACTGAATGTCAGCATAACTTTAGGATTGGACTAGGATTTGATACCACTAAATGCAATTATTGTAATTGGTTTCCAGCTAAAAATAAGATAGTTCAATGTTTATTATACAGTATAACTTATTGTACAGTCTGTTTAGAAAAATTAATTATGACACACAAGATAACATTAGAAAATAAAGAAGGGATGCGAGAAGATCATAGTCTAGAAAATAAAGAATTACACCTAACAATTAGAGAATTAGAGATACAGGTAAAAGAACTTACACTACAAATACATGAGATAGAAACTAAGGTTAATTTTGACATGTAATGCTTAGAATTAGAAAATAAATTGCTTAAACAGCAGTTAGAACAATTTCATACTAGATACCCCTTAAAAGATAAATATGTTGAAGAACATATGCACTCTTTAGAATTAGTCAACCTAGTTGATTCTCAACCCTTTAGTCAATATTCCCAAGCACAGTTTGACAATGCATATTTACCATTTAATTACCCTGTTATACCCAAGCTAAATTTAGTTAAGATCTCTTGCGTAATCAAATTTGCAGAAAAAACTCTTTGTGTAAACACTATGATAGATACTGGCGCTAGTAAATCATATATTGAACAACACATAGTTCCGCCAGGATGGAGTTCACCTTTAGCAATCCTAGCTTTAGTCAGTGTAGCCAATGGCACAAGACAAACATATATACATTGCATTAATGGAGCACAAATTAGTTTTCATCATATAGGCTCTCAAACTCAACATATACAATGGTTCCTTTTACCCTAAGTTTGGATTGAGAATGCTCTACAAGACCATCACTTTATATTAGGACTTAATTTCATACCCAGTCTACAAGGTGGCATGTTTATCAGCCATAGTAGCATTAGTTTCTTCAAACGAACAGTGCATACACCCACAACATATGCCCTTAGCATCATTGCTCATTCATCAGAGTTGCATGCGAAGCGTGGTGGTATCATAGGAGTAGATTCCGTTCCCACTAGTTTTTTATTTCCTAGAAGAAATATTTTTCCTAAGCTATCCCAAAAGTATATACCAAATGAAGAGATAGCAAATACTTCTTTAGAAAATTTAGGCATAGAAGATTCTGAATTAGAAGAAAAAAATGACTCTTGGAGTTTAGAAGATTTTCAACAAATTGTTAACTTAGAATTAATTTTTGCAAAAATAGAAAAACTGAAGAAAAAACCAATATATAGAATAACAAAAAATGGTTTAGATGAAATAATAAGATTAGCTTAAACAACAGAAATTTTAGGAGAACAACCCATAAAATACTGGGAAAGAAATAAAGTTTTAACTAGCTTAGATATAAAAAATAAAGCTTATATGATTGCATTAGCACAAATAGATCATATGCCAGCAGATATAGAAGAATTTAGAATACAGATTAAAGAGTTATTAGATTTAGGAGTAATTCGACTTAGTAATAGTCCACATAGAAGCGCCGCATTTATGGTAAGAAATCATGTAGAGATAAAAAGAGGGAAAGCTAGAATGATTATAAATTATAAAAGATTAAATGATAATACAGAAGATGATAAATACAATATACCAGATAAAGATCAGCTTATAAATAGAATACAGACAGCAAGAATATTTAGCAAATGTGATTGCAAGTCGGGTTTTTGGCAAATAAAAATGAAAAAGGAAAGTATAACTTGGACAACTTTTTGTTACCCACAAGAACATTATGAATGGCTAGTCATTTCTTTTGCACTTAAAAATGCACCTTTCATATTTTAACGTAAAATGGATAGTATATTCAACAAATATAGTTTTGTATTGGTATATATAGATGATATATTAGTATTTAGCCCAGATAAAAATAGTCATATAGATCATTTATATATATATAGTATTAGAAGAATTTATAAACAATGGAATAATAATTAGTAATAGAAAAATGGTATTGAATAAACCTCATATAGAATTTTTAAGAATAGAGTTAGGAGATAGAAAAATCAGACTACAACTTTATATAGTAAGGAAAATTTTAGACTACCCAGATGAATTAGAAGATACAAAACAATTTCAATCATTTTTAGGAATTCTAAATTATGCACGAATGTACATTCCTAACCTTGGCAAGATAATAAGACCTCTATATAGCAAGACTACACCTACATGACAAAAATATTTTAACTAACAATATATAACCTTAGTAAGACAAATTAAAGACATTTGTAGAAATTTACCCGACCTGCAACTTCCCTTAGAATCAGAATATATAGTCTTAAAAAAAGATGCAAGCCAATTAGGATGGGGAACAGTGCTATTAGCTAAACCCAACAAATATGATAGTAAAAATAAAAAGCTTATATATAGATATAGTTCTGAAAAATTTAAAGAAAAAGATACAACTATGACCAGCTTAGATTTTGAAATATTAGGGATAGTATATGCAATAAACAAATTTAGATTATTTTTACACAAGCCCTTTACAATTAGAACAGATTGCGAAACTATAGATAAATTTCATAATAAACTTAATGAGTGTAAACTTAGTAGTAGAAGATGGGCAAAATTTTTAGATTGCATAGTAGGACAAGGACATAAGGTAAAATTTGAACATATTAAAATGAGTGATAATAAGTTAACAGATTGGCTTAGGAAAATCTATTTAAAAGAGAAAATGACCAGTTTAATTTTTGTGCAGATAATGGAGAATAGCAAAATAATGAACTTTAGGGGATTTGCTCAGAAACAAGTTCAAACCGTTAACAGGAATTGAGGTAGACCCAGTTCAACAGTATTTTTTAGATAACCTTTGGAACAACCTTAACCACCCAGCCAAACGTTTGTTCGCTTTAAATTCTCTCAGTATATATTTTTCAAAAATGCAAAATAAACCTTTGTCTAAAAGTTTTTCTTTCTATGTAGTAGCTACAGGAACCAAGCTTGGTATTTACTATGACTGGATAAAAGTTGAACTTTTAGTTAAAAAATTTCCCGTACCTCAATTTAAGAGATTTTATGATTTTGAGTCAGCCAATACATATGCCTGCAGACAAATAGGAACTAGTTATTTTATTAGCCAAATAGCTAAAGATTATCTGGACACATTGAGTAAGATGCAATCAACTATTCTTGCTACTAGTGGAGTTCTAGTTAGCCAGATAACAGGAAGCAATAGTACTAATCCTCAGCCAGATTCTCAAAATCCTCTCCATATGTGCAGACATTGTGAAGACTTTACCGGAAATTTTAAGAAAATTATCGATAAAGGCAAAAAGGTCACTGAAGAGCTAGACCAGCTCCGAGACTAGGAAAAACAATTAAAAGTAACAATTCGAACCCTAATCAGCCAGCTTAAAAAACTAACTCTAGAAAAAGCACCAACTCCCTTTCCAAACCTAGAAATCAGACAACTCACTAGTGAGAAATTTGAACAATTGAGTGCTAGAATGTATTTTTTCAGATATTCTATCATTCAATCTTTTTGCTAGAAAAGCCAAGAAATAGAAGACCTTAAACTTTATATATACACCTTAACCGAAGCTAGCAGAAATAGTGAGCTAATCACTATATAATAATTTCTTCAAGACCCTTCCATAAATAAAAAAAGGAGAATTAGAATTCAAACTAGTTTTGAATCTTAAAACTTAAATACCCAACCCAACAACAAAAGACAAATTCTATAGCTCATAAAAAGTATTACTTTTCATTTTCTATCTAATGATTTTGTTGTGTTAATTTAAAATTGAAGCAAAATAAAGTCATTTTGAATTGTGTAATTTAAAATAAAATAGCAGTATTTTAATGTTATTTTGCTTTAATTTCAAATTTAACCTGTTGGATTAGGTCTCCCGTTGATGTGTCTCATATCATAGAAAAAATGACAAGGCATCATTTGGGATAAAGGCTGAGGTTAAAATAGTTATATAGGACAAAATAGGTTATTTTTGTCAAATAAAATAAAATGATATATCAAATCCATAATCATTTTATTTTTTCTCTCACAAAAGTTAAAAAAATCATAAAAATCTATCTCAAACGAGACTTTTTAATTCCAGATTCAAATAGTCAAAAAACTAAAAGACCTACTCACATTCCAAACGAATCCAAAGGAATCTGATCTCATGAACATCACCCACAGTGGGTTAAAAGGAACACTGAAGCGTGTGGATTAATAAAAATGGGATTTTGAAAAATTTTTTTGTTGGGTTATTGCATATGAAACCAAGCATTTCAAGAGGGTTGTGGCTGTCTGAAAAGGCCTATTGGCCTCTTAATTTTCTTGGTTTAAAAGAATTAAGAAAAAAAAAATCATTTGACAAAAAGAAAGTCATCAAGGAGAACACATTTTTGAGGTCTCCTTATTTTTGAATTTCAATAGATTTTTTTATTCATACTAAAATTACCCATAAAGAAATTTGCTATATATAGTTTAATTTAGTTTTCTTTTTTATTGAATTTAAGGGTAAATATAAAAACAAACAATTACATAACCAAATTCTAAATAAAATCAATAATTGATTCAGTTTTTGAAATTGTCACCTCGATGAGCACATTTAATCAGATTTTTAATGAGCTAGATTTTATAGATCTAACACATCATGAAATTTAATACAACGATAACACATCATTAAAATTCAAAACCAATCCTCTATAACATTTAAAATAAAAAATTGATAATTGAAAATTTTCACAACCATTCATCATGAAATGAAAAGGAAATGGAGAGAATTATCGATCCTTTCAACACACAATTCTCCCTCTCAAGTTTTCACTACATGTCAATGGAAAAAACTCACTAAGTGGAAAAGATAAAACCCAAACATCTAATTTCCAAATCAAACAGAGTAAAATAAGGCCTATCTGAACCCTTTTGTCACAATTTTTTTATTCATAAATTATCCTTCTTTTGTAACTATTCCTTCTTTTATAACTATCGATATGTAACTGTATACTTCAAGCAAATCTAGTGTGTATATATATACACAGAGAGAGAGAGAGAGTAGCATGAAGTTCATCTGTAAGATTTAAGAGTAGCACCACAAAAAGTACAGACAACAGCTCTCCAAGACTTCCAATAAAATGGGATGAAACAAAACCTCGTGTCGGTTCTCATGTCGGCGATGCTCGCGCCGCTACTGCACCGTGAACATGATGCGGCCACTGGCCTGCTCCTCTTCATCCTCATCTTTTGATCCACTAAGAAGCAGAAACAAACCATGAATGAATCAATATATCTTTGGCTTACCCACCTTGTACTTGGTCTAATTTTTAGCAAAGTTCTAACGTTTCATGCTCTTTATTGCTTTGTGCAGTATTGTGGGGTTTTATAAATTAATGGCATTGGGTCAAGCTGTTTGTGACTCGAACCACCTTGAGGTTGACACGTGTTTGGAGATTAAATATTGAAAATAACAATAAAATAATGACAAGACTTTGAAAAATTAGCATGTGACATTGTTTATGTACAGTTGTGGCAAATGACATGTACAAAGACTATTTGAAATTAGTTTTTTTTTTGTGATTTTTGGATTTTTTTAGGAAATAAAAAAGAAGAAGTTATGATTGAATTCTCAGAATCTGTTTTTAATAAATTAAAAATAGCCTAATAAAAATAAACACTAAAAAAAAACATTTTTGAATTTTAAAAAAAATTGTACTAAAAAAATAGAAAATCATATGAAAAAATAATAATTTATTTATTTTTTGCATAAACAAACTCTAAAAACTTGACCAAATAGAGCTATCTATTTGAAAATAACTTTTTTAATTGTATGAGAAACCATAAATGACTGATGTCATATTTTTATTTTTTACTTAAAATTTTCATTTTAACCTCTTAAAAGTGTAAACACCTATGTATTCATGTGGGCTAGGTTCAAATTGCTAAAAATTTGAGTTAATTTTCTTTTTTGATGTTTTGCAATTAGGCTTCCTAATTTTTAAAAGTATGACCCCATTTATTTATTATTATTTTTAAAAAAAATTATGAGTAAGAAATAACCTGCTACAATAACATGACAAGTAAACTTTTTATCAAAATAACTTGACAACATAATAAACATTACAAAGAACAATCTAAGTGAGAATTTCACCCCTACTCACCAACCAATAAAGTATTATAAATGAAATTTGGACAATTTTTATTTGTATTAATTCAACCATATAAGATCAAGTAGCACTTAGTAAGCGAGATGTCTAAATTTGAATTTTATCAAAGCACTATACAAATTTTTCAAAAATGAATTGCATCAACAAATCTTTTAAAATCTTATTCATTCACACACACACACATATATATATATATATATATATATATTATTTTTAGATGATTTCTGTATTGACAGTAGAATTGAAATTTTGGTTACCAAATCATCCGATAATGATATTGTGAACTAATTGTCTTGTTATATCTAGCTAGACACATCATATTAATCAAGACTCAAATCATGTGAGGATGATGAATTTTTGGATAATAATCCAATTGTTGGACCATTTTAATATCTTATATTTATTTATTGGTTTATCTTTTTCATAAATGGGATTTTATTACTTTGGTAATCTCTTGGTCATAAATGGGGGTTAAATAGAATTCATGAACTTGGTTAATGGTCATTATTTTGGTGTAACCATTTTCTTGTTTAATGGTCTTTATTTTTGGTGTAACTGTAAGGTCCTTATAGCCTATATATAGTCTACTCTTTTCTATTTATAGAGATCAACTATTTTCTATACAAGAGAGATTACTAGCAAAGAAGGGTGTTTTATTGGTGGAGCTTTGGGTTCACCATCTTGTGCAGAGTTGGCCTGAACCATACGATAAGTGGTCAGGCGATTGTATCCTGGAGGGGACAAGTCATAGTGTTGTGACTGCTGCATCGGTAGTTGGATTCTTCCTACCGCAGTGGGCTTGATCTCCTTAAAGAAAACGAGATATCCGTGCCTTAGCCTGATCTATTTGTATCTCTTTTTCTTTGCATCATTTATCAATAATATAGTTTAGTTTCTGGTATTTTCACCAACAATTTTAAGGAGATCAACCATGGAACAAGTACCAGAAAAAACCAATGATGGAATTGGAGATCTCAACAAACCTTTCAAGTTCAAAGGAGTTCATTTTAAGAGGTGGAAAGGAAAAGTTCTTTTTTACCTTAGCCTTTTGAAAGTTGCATATGTTCTTACCGAAGAATCCGAACAAAATCCCAACCGAGGAGATGAATGATGAAGACTATGAGGCACATAAAGCAAAAGTGGCTTCCTATAATACAGATGAGTATAAATGTCGCTTTTATCTCTTAAATTGCCTTGCTGGTCAATTTTATGATTACTATGACACCACTTACACTTCCGTAAAGAAAATTTGGAAAGCTTTACAGACTAAGTATGATACCGAAGAGGCAGGAGCAAAAAAGTATGCAGCTAGCCGATTTTTCCGCTTCCAAATGGTAGATGGAAAATCCGTTGTGGAACAAGCACAAGATTTCCAAATGATAGTTGCAGTAGTAAGATCTGAAGGCATCAAGATTGGTGACAACTTGGTAGTTGCAGGACTTGTTGACAAGCTACCGCCATCCTGGAGAGAATTCCAAAAGAGTATGCGTCACAAACAAAAGATGACTTCCTTAGAGACGTTGATCACTCGCATCCGAGTAGAAGAGGAGGCTAGAGGCCAAGATGCATTAATAACACAAGCGGGTAATGGCAATTCTACCACAAAGGTAAACTTTGTTTCAGCAAATAATAACTTACCCAAAGGTCATAATTCCAAGAATGCTCATTTGAAGCCTTATAAAAAGAATATGAAGAATTATGGTAAACCTCACAATAAGTGGATTAATCCAGATAAGAACCATGGTCCATCACCTCTACAAAATTTTACATGCTTTGTCTGTGGCAAAAGTGGGCATATTGCTCGAACTTGCAAATTCCGAAAACGTGCACCTGCCTCAAAGGCTAACATTATCGAGGAGCCATTTGTGGCTATGATTACAGACATTTGCATGGTTAATTATGTGGACGGTTGGTGGGCAGATTCTGGTGCTAATAGACATGTTTGTTATGATCAAACTTGGTTCAAGGTGTATACTCCCTTTGATGATGAGAAAAAATTTATGCTTGGTGACTCTAGTCAAACCAAGCTACTTGGGAGTGGTGAGGTTAATCTAAAATTCACCTCTGGACGTGTGCTTACTTTAAAAGATGTGCTTTATACACCGTCCATGAGGAAGAATTTGATGTCAAGTTATTTGTTGAATGAGGCTGGTTTTAAACAAACTATGGAATCTGATCAATATGTGATAACCAAGAAGGGTATTTTTGTGGGTAAGGGTTATGCTTGTGATGGGATGTTCAAATTGAATGTTGAGATTAATAAACCATCTACTAATTCGGTTTACATGTTGTTTTCTATTAATTTATGGCATGCTCGCTTGTGTCATATAAATAGTAAATATGTGGGAATCATGAGTAGTTTAGAATTAATTCCTAAAGTGACAAAAAATTTTGAGAAATGTGAAGTTTGCAGTAAAGCAAAAATTACCAAGAGGCCTCATAAAAGTGTTGAAAAAAATACCGAATTGCTAGAATTATTTCATACTGATTTGTGTGAGTTTGAAGGAATTTTAACTCGGGGTGGTAACCGATATTTTATCACTTTTATTGATGATTTTTTAAAATATACAAACGTATATTTATTAAAAAATAAAAGTGATGCTTTTGAGAAATTTAAAGAATTCCTTCTTGAAGTGGAAAATCAATTCGGTAAAAAGATTAAAAGAATTAGAAGTGATAGAGGCCGGGAGTATGAATCTCTAGGATTCAACTCTTTTGTTCATTCATTGGGAATTATTCATGAGACTACTCCACCATATTCACCTTCATCAAATGGCATAGCTGAAAGAAAAAATAGAACGTTAATTGACTTGACGAATGCTATGCTTATTGATTCAGGTGCTTCCTCAAATTTTTGGGGTGAGGCTATTTTGACAGCTTGCCATGTGATAAATAGAGTGCCACACAAAAAGACTTAAATTGTCCCTTATGAGTTGTGGCGGGGGCATAAACCAAATCTAGGTTATTTGTGGGTTTGGGGTTGTTTAGCTTTTGTGAGGCTTGCAGATCCTAAACGACCTAAATTGGGTGAACGAGCTACCACTTGTGCTTTTCTTGGGTATGCGTTGCATAGTACAGCTTATAGATTTTTTGACATGAAAAATAATATTATTTTTGAATTAGGTGATGCTATTTTTCATGAAAATAAATTTCCTTTCAAATCGAGAAATAGTGGGGGTCAAATAATATCTGAAAATATTTCATCTATGCCTAACTCTTCTACTCCTTCTCAAGTTTTTCAAGAAAAAGAAAATTTTCAAATCCAACCAAGAAGAAGTAAACGAGCTAGAGTTGAAAAAGATTTTGACCCTGACTATTATCTTTACAATGTGGAAGAAATTCCTCATACGGTACAAGAAGCTTTATCATCACCTGATGCTATTTTCTGGAGAGAGGCTGTAAATGATGAGATAGACTCACTACTTTCAAATAAAACACGGAAGTTAGTGGATTTACCTCCAGGTTGTAAAACTATTGGGTGTAAATGGGTCCTTCGTAAAAAACTTAAACCGGATGGAACTATAGATAAATATAAAGCGAGGCTTGTCGCTAAAGGTTTTAAGCAAGATCTCCTTAAAGAAAATGAGATATCCGTGCCTCAGCCTGATCTATTTGTATCTCATTTTCTTTGCATCATTTATCAATAATATAGTTTAGTTTCTGGTATTTTCACCAACAATTTTAAGGAGAACAAACATGGAACAAGTACCAGAAAAAACCAATGATGGAATTAGATATCTCAACAAGCCTTTCAAGTTCAAGGGAGTTCATTTTAAAATATGGAAAGGAAAAGTTCTTTTTTACCTTAGCCTTTTGAAAGTTGCATATGTTCTTACAGAAAAGAATCCGAACAAAATCCCAACCGAGGAGATGAATGATGAAGACTATGAGGCACATGAAGCAAAAGTGGCTTCCTATAATACAGATGAGTATAAATGTCGCTTTTATCTCTTAAATTTACTTGCTGATTAATTTTATGATTATTACTATGACACCACTTACACTTTGTCTTCTAT